TTTCTCAACAACTTTAGAATCAGTATCAATATGGAAGTTCCACCTCTCCAAGACTTCACCAGTAGCTTTGCTCATTATCACCAACACTACTCTCTGCAACTTCCCAGCTTCAAGCCACTCTTTATAAACATCACGCAACAGTATATGATCACTCTCTCTATAAGACTCATAGACAAAAAAAGAAAGAATCTGTTTTTTTAATTACTGGAGATCTATGAAGTGAGATTTGATAAGAATGATTTGACGGATTCCTCTTCACCTGAATAGACTCCTAATTTTAGCAGAACTTCCTATCACATAAAGAGAGAATCAAATTCACATACAAAAATCATCAGAACACTTTCAACCGAATAAATCATTTCAAAATCATCATCAGCCTAATCTTTAAACATCCGTATTCTATAGTTCGATACAATCAATACTAACACAATGGATATTACTCGCCTTTGGGTTCTAAAACTGAGAGAAAGATTTTTGATATATTGCAAGCAGACCTGCATTAAGGTTCAGGAGGCCGATTCTGACGGATTTGGAAGAAGGGTTTTGGTGTTTTGATGGGTCGATGAGTTGTTGGAGGAGGGAGGATGATGAGGACGGAGGAGCGGTGGTGGTGGTTGTTGGTTCTGATTTGCGGGATTGATAGAGCTCTTCGCGGTCTTGGATTCAGAAATCTGGAGAGGAGGACACCCAATCGTTTTGTCGCATGTTTCTGTGAGAAAAAAGACAACAGGGCCTTACAAAAAAAAAAAAATTAACAACTGAAGCCCAGACGGATTTGGCCCAAACCGATTGCTGACGTGGCCTTTCCAGCCTGGAGCTGACGTGGCATATCTAAGAAAGAAGGATGCTCTTCTTTATATAATAGATATATAACACTGATATATAAACATGATCCTTGTTATTAAACCAATAGACATGTCAAATAAGAATATAAAATACTCTTACAACGGATCCTATTTTTCCTTCACGGATCACTTGTCCATCAATCTTCACAAACTAAAAAGCAATGATCTCGAATTCACAAACCATTTGCTTGATTGCATTATGATAAGCACTGGGGGACTTATTTCAGAAGGAAAATCAAGAAGCCAGAGCTTGAGTCAAAGAAAGGGGAGCCAAAGATGGAGAGTTGACTGATGACACGGACAATTAAACGTGGCACAAGAGAAACAAACTCCTATAGTTCAAACAAACTATTTCTGGTCTCAAGTAAGGGTATCTCGTATTTCACATTTCAAATGATTACTTGTCGGAGCTATTTGAGGATAAGATTATCTAAATTGTCTGAACTAATCAGTACATGGAGTATGTCAAAAAAACAAGGAGCTACAGTATACACAATTCCTTGCCCATGGGACTTTTAATATCAAAATTATGTTTTCAAGCCAACTAAACCGGCAACCTAACGGTATCGCTGGTTAAACTTAAAACGATGATGTTCCTTCACCGTCCTTGTTAACTTCAACTCTCAGCGAAGAAACTGGCATACTCCTCCACAACATGACATGTTTCTGAAGGGGTATTAGTGGAAATTATATTTATAATGATTATTAGATTTTAAAGAGTTTAGTGTTATTGGTTTATAGATTCTTACATTCCTAATAAAATCTATTGTTATTAGATTGATGATTTTATAATTTTATACAAAAAAAATTTGTTATTTAAAAAGTTTGGAGGTTAATGGTTCTTATTAAAATTAGGATTATCAAGAATTGTATTATTAATCATTTAACTCATACAACAAAATTTTGAGAATAATACATATATATATCCTTTGAATTCTTAAAATCATTATAAGTATTTATTTTCATAGATTTTTGCAATATACAAAATTCTTTTTAGTTCTTTCGAAATTCAACAAATCTCTATACTTTTAAAATCAATAAACCTCTATAAATATAACTTCCACTAACACCTCCTCAAAAAACTTCCTCAGGCCTGTTCGTACCACCTAGCCTAACCGAACCATCATACCGGCTCCTCCACATAGACGATACTGTTTTGATGAACAACCACAGATCCGATCGAGACGTTTCCCTGTCATCCGGTTCACCACTCCTCGAGCTTCCTCCTATCGAATGAACCAAACGAATTCGACCGTTTCATCTTCCAATTTGCCATCATCTCCTTCCTTACATCTTCTGGTAACAGTAGCGTAAACCGATCGGGACATTCTCCAGGTAATAGCATTGAATGTCCTGTCGAGTGTGACCTCGAGAATCTGACACGTGGAACAGCAACACTCTCCACTGCCGGTTCAGGGTTCACTGGTTGCTGCGACTCGATATCCGTTTCGGTTATAACTTCTGGTTGGACAGGTTCAGCGATCTGCTGCTGGTCAGCGAGATTATTGCGGCAAACGGGACAAGTCACGTGACCCTGGAGCCATGCATCGATGCAGTTAGGGTGGAACACGTGATCGCATTTAGGTAGCAAACGCAGCATTTCATCGTCTTCAAACTCGTTCAGACATATCGCACACTCCAACGCACCGTTCCCGATCTTCTGTGTCTTCACTTCCGAGTAGACGAAAGTCGGGAACGTCTCGATTATCGACGGGTCGAGACTACGCGCAACCGTCGCGTTAGTTGCTCTTATCTCTCCTAACGTAAGGTTAACACTCGCGTCGACTGCCTGCTCCATGCACCGGCGGAAGCAGAGGGTGAAGAACGCTATTAAGAAGAGAATGGTGAGTACACTTGCGATAATGATCACATTCATTGTGAGTCTTAGTCTTCCCTCGTAATCGTTCAGCTTATTTGGGTCTTCTTGTACGGGTTGACTTGACGCTAGCTCCGACATGGCTATCTGTAGAAACATGAAAAGAGCTGGTAAAGCGGTTTGCTTTCTGGTCAACGGTAAGAAACTCTTCATGCTTCTGGAAATTCAAAAGCACAGTTTTATTATGATTACGGCATGAGAGGAGAAGAATATGAAGTTTATAGTAGAGAGACTTGGGGAAGAAGAAAGAAGGATCAACTCAAGAGGGTGGTGGGACAAGTTAGGGGATATCTCACAGCAAATCTGTCAATTATTTAGCGACACGTGGACAAAGAGAGCTCTCTAATTAGTAAGGTCATAATCATTTCTGGGAAGTTTGACCATATTATATATGATTCCTTTCATATAATAATAAATAGATATGCTCATTAATACTCTTCTACCTTCCATATGGACTGCATATTCTTTTTTCTTGTCACCTCGAAGTTTAATTCATTTGTAGGTCCGGCTTTGATATTAGCATCCTTCTATAAACTCTTAGCCATCAAAGCTTCATAGTTCATATAATATTCTTTCTGTTTTCATTTTATGTATCGTTTTAGATTTTTCATACAAATTAAAAAATTATTAAAATTTATGTTTTAACTATAGTGAATATATATTTTTTATTTGATTATAGTTATTAAGAAACAAAAAAAAACAAAGAAAATTTAAAAAAAAATACCAGATATATGTATTGAACACATAAATAGATCTAAATAGATTTGTCTTAATTCAATCCTAACACATTTCTAAAGAAGGTAAAAATATTAACTTTGATCCATGTTTAGATGCAATCTCACCAATTGATGTTCTCCCCTTTAACCTTCTCCTTTGGTGAATTCTTTGATGGAAAAGAAATCCCAAAACCTTCCTTAATCTCTCGTAATAATCAGTATTATGTTGTATGCATGCATATTTGAAAGATTTTCGTCTTCGTAGAGCATCTCCAACTCCAATCCATAATTTTACTGCAAAATAGAGTGAGATATGAAGTAGTGAACAAACAAAAAAGTCATTACACCATTTATAGAGTAATCACTTTTTGTTTTTTTCATTACTCCATTTTGCAGTAAATTATAGAGTGGAGTTGGAAATGTTCTTATGTGCAGATAAAATAATGATGTACGTGATATTTTATATTAGTCAAAGAGACATGAGTCTTAATCAACACAACTCTCGCACAAAACATTCCACGCAACACTTCATTATATTAACCGTAAAAGTGTATTATAATGTATCATCACATATATATATATATATATATTCCATTATTATTAACTTTTATATACATCATGAGATTAAAGACATTCATAAGCATAAAGGTAAAGTAGGAGAGTTATCAATACACCCGGTTTCTAACTCATTAATCGAAACCGATCCATCACAATATCATCTTTTATATTAGAATCTAAAAATATTAATTTAAAATTGAACTTTATATTAAACCAATAGACATATAGGTCACACATAATATAAAATATTCTTACATTCTCCCACTTGATCTTTGTGTCGACTTAAGGGTTTAATAACTTTAATATGCATTCTTATATCAAATTCATTTGATCTTTACTAAAATTTTAATTGATTGAATCATGGCGGTTGTATGCCCTTAAACGACATAGTCCCTTCCATGTATCACAAATCAATTCCAATTTTAATCCTTAAATATGAGAAAAACCAGCATTTCTCAAACCAATTAACCATATGTTATCTACAAACCATAAGTGTATACATATACTTTAATGATAACATAATTAATAAATCAGAAACATAACTTTATGTGAATTCTTTGTGTCAAATACATAATGAGCATCCCATGACTAAAATAGCAAATCCTTATCTATAATACCCATATGTTCTACATGGCCATTGAATGCCTTGGGTGGTAAGCCTTTAGTTAGCGGATCCGCTACCATCATGTCTCTCCTTATATGCTCAAATGACACTCTCCGTTTCTGAACTTTCTTCTTTAACAGACAAGTACTTTAACTCCATGTGCTTAGCACCCTTCGAGTACTTGTCGTTCTTTGAAAAGAAGATAGCTGCAGAATTACACAGTAAATTCTCAGCGGCTTGGCTATAGTGTCGACAATCCAAAGCCCTGAGATAAAGTTCCGCAGCCATAATGCATGAATTTTGGCCTCAAAGCATGCCGTAAATTCAGCCTGCATAGTGGAAGTAGAAATGACAGACTGCTTTCCACTCTTTCATGATATTGCTCCCTCAGCTAACAGGAACAAGTAGCCAAACGTCGATTTTCTTCTATCAACGCATCCGGCATAGTCTGAATCTTAATATCCAATGACTTGTAACTGATCAGATCTCCTATATGTAAGCATGTGCTCTTTGGTACCTTGCCGAGAATCTTCTTTGCAACTTTCCAGTGGTCCATTCGAGGATTACTTTGATATCGACCCAACATTCCAATAGCAAAGCTGATATCCGGTCTAGTACATGTCTGAACATAGTTCAAACTCTCAACCACCGATGCATAGGGAATTATTTCCATTTCTTTACGCTCCAATTATTCTTAGTACATTGCATTTTACTGAACTTGTCCCCCTTCTGAATTGGAGCTATTCCTGCGGAGCTATTCCTGCAGAGCATTTTTCCATTTTATATCTCTCTAAGATCTTATCGATATATCCTTTCTGAGACAAACTTAACAATCTTTGTGATCTATCTCGAAAGATTTTTATCCCGATCACATAAGATGCCTCACCCATATCTTTCATTTTAAAATCCTAGAGAGATACTTCTTTACATCATGTAACATACCCATGTCATTTGCAGCAAGCAAAATATCACAACATATAAGACAAAAATCACAAACTTACTCCCACTGACTTTAGTGTAGATACATCGATCAACAATGATCTCTACAAAACCATATGATGTGATGGTATCATTAAACTTTATATACCACTGTCGAGAAGCTTGTTTTAGTCCATATATTGACTTTCTCAGCTCACACACTAAATTTTCTTTTCCTGCGACCACGAAACATTCAGGTTGGTCCATATATATTTCCTCCTCAAGATCGCCTTTCAGAAAGGCGGTTTTCACATCCATCTGGTGAATCTCAAGATCATAATGAGCCACCAAAGCCAAAACAATTCTAAAAGAATCCTTCTTTGAAACTGGAGAGAATGTCTCTTTATAGTCAATGCCATCTTTCCGGGTGAAACGTTTAGCAATAAGGCGATATTTGCGTCTCTTAGGTTTACCTTTCAAGTCGCTTTTAGTCTTATAGACCCATTTACAACCAACGGTTTTGAAACCATCAGGCAAATTTACTAAGTCCCATACATGATTGTCACTCATAGATTTCATTTCTTATTTTGAGGCATCAAACCACTCTTCAGAATTGTCACTTTCCATGGCCATTTTGAATGAGATCGGATCATCATGCATGCTTAAGTCACATTCATTTTCAATAGTGTAAACACACATAATCGTTTGAAACAGTAGATCTTCTTTCTCTTCCAGATCGCCTTAAAGGTATTTGTGGTTCACTATTCTCTTCTTGAATTATGACATGTTCATCAACAATATCTTTAGCTAGTGGGACTGGCACATTATTATGTTGTTCTATTGTGTCATTAAACTCTGATGCAACAATAGGAACAACTACCTCAGGTGGAACTATAGGTGAAGAAACTTCAACCTGAACTTGATATAAAAGTGCTCATTATTGATATATTAGACCATTAGAGTGACACAAAGGTAAAGTGGGAGAATGTAAGAATATTTATTCTTATATGACCTATGTGTCTCTCAGTTTAACTATAAAGATCAAGTTCACATTAAAGTTATGAATTCTAATATTAAAAACGACACCGTGATGGATTGGTTTCGATTAAATACATTAGAATATGGGTGTATTAATAACCCTTCTCTCTTACTTTATTTTATGTGTCTTAGCTATGATTGTATATATATAACTATATGTGTGTATATGGTGGTTAAAAAAGAATCAAACTACTGAAATATGATACATATATATAATTATATAGTGTGGTGGTTACAATTTATGAAGAGTTGTGTTTCTTCATATGATGGAGTCTCTTCATAAATATAAAAGGAATCATATTGTTTATGTGAAATATTACGAATGTCTCGTACACCACAATACAATGTCGATCAATAGAATTAAGAGAAGACACTTACAGTTTCTTATCCATCAAAAGAAACCATTGAAGAGAAGGTCAAAGACAGGAAGAAATCAATTGGTGAATTGATTCTAATAGCAAGCCAAGCTAAGCATGGATCAAGGTTAGTCCTTCTTCTTCTCTAAGAAAGCTTATTAGGGTTGAATCAATGCAAATCTAGATTAGGTCTTGGTAAATCTCAGTATTGAAATCATAAAAGTTAATCTTACATTTGGTAAATCTAGATTAGGTCTTGGTAAATCTCAGTATTGAAATCATAAAAAATTAATCTTACATTTAATTAAAAAGAAAACAACTAAACCTTAAAACAATAACTAATACGCAACGGAGAGAGCATGACTAAATTATTTGGCAATTCTATTTTCATTCTTTAACCAAATACAAACTCTTGTCGAACTAAAGACTCGCCTGTCTATCTTATCTTTCGGATAACCTTGAAAATAGATCATCTCTAATCCTTTATATAAAAAAGCGCAAGTCACATGGCCAATCAAATTCTGAAAAATGGCTTATGCTTCAATATAATTTTCAAATTAAAATTAAAAAGCATAATATATTTAACGACTTCTTCTAATAAAAAAAATTAGATAGATCTCTAAATTGTTTCTTGATCAAAGCCACGATCCCCACTTTTCCATATAAATCACTTTTGCTGGGCAAGTATTTTAAAATCTTTCCAACAAACAATATATGTTTTACAAACCATTCTTTGTTTTAGAGGTTTCTTCACACCCTCTTTTTTTCTGCATTAGTTTGAAACTTTTATCATTTATGCTAGATTATTTTTGTATTATGGATTTCTTACTAAGTTTCATAATAGTTCATATGAAACTTATGCTTCAAAATCTAAGATTATAAGCTCTTTCTCGAAAAAAAATCTGGGTTAACAGAAACATTAAGCATCAGTCTTTGTATTATTCAGTTTTTTGAAGCTATTTT